GCGGCTACATTAGCAGCAACGTTTCAGCCACCACGTAAAAAGCGGGAAAAAGAAGAGAATGGGCGAAACAGTATTTAAGAGAACGTGACGAATTTGGTCACATAAATTTGATAAGAATTTCAGATGAAGATGATTTTAAAATATATCTGCAAATGAACCGCGAAACCTTTGAAAATTTATTAAATTTCCTCCATAATGTAAAATGAGCGCACGCGCGGCCGTCCTTCTTGGCGTTCCGAACACGACTAGTCGTAGTTTGTTCGTCCCAACCGTCCACACGTCCAGATTCAGTACGGAGCAAACCATATCCCATTTGCAAACTAGCGGACCGAGGTGGACTCAATTAATAATAATTATGTTCGTAGGACTACTCTACAGACGGTTAGATTTGGTTCGGATGCGAACCAAATTCGTGGTCTGTTCGAACCAAATTCGAGCGTGTTACAGCTTTAATGAGCGACAAAGAGGCACAATCGGCCTCCGCGTTCGGCAGCGTTCAACATCTGTCTCTCTTGTACTTGAGTGAGCGATGCGTCCTCGTGAACAGCTGCTATACAATAATACATTTACATGTTTTCGTCAAGTATGAAGTCCAGTGAAAAGTGAATGTGGTGTCAATTGTTTATAGCAACGATAATTGCGGCGATAAAGGTAATGAATGATTCTTTCGATATCAAATATAGGCATGGGCGTAGCCAGGTACGGGCAGGGGGGGAGGGGGCCTAGATCGAGGAGATTCAGAACCAAAAATTAAATAATAAATAATCCAAAAACTAAATATAATATTTAAAAAAAATATAGAATCGCACATCACTCTCATTAGTCTCGTTACTAAAGCTCTAATTTCGATAGGACTACTCGTAAACAGTGAAGTGATTTCGTACGTACCTACGTTAAGCATTTCTTGGACGTAAAATGATGAATATAAGGATTTTTTTAAGTGTGTAGTCTGTATAATGTTACTGTGTGTACAACTAACAAAGGTATTCTTAAAAATATAATTTTGCCGGGCAACTATGGCCCGTTTAGAACACAGGTTTAGAAGCGTCATAAAAATAAGTTATTCAAAAATTAGTTTTTTACTAGCTAGCACAAGCTAGCTAGCTACTTAATGCTTTTATATGCGATTGGTGAAATCACTAAATGGATTGTTCTAGTTAAATCATTTCATATTTATCATTTTGTTTTATAAGCTGTCAGATTTCCCAATAAAATAAAATTCATTCATTATTTCCTATAAACCCGTCATAAACTTTAATGAAGTTTCATTAGTTGCCCTAAAAAGATCATAAAATGACATCTATTCTCATTAATTGTATGTGAGGCGAAATTCTTGACAATCCATGGTTTCACCGTGCGGGTGCCGAGTCCATCGTGTGGCAGAGAGAGAAACTCTGAGCAGTTCCCGGGCCTTGCTATCCCGGTGTAGGTTTAAGGAGGTCTTTGAGATACGCATTAACGCTCACCTTCACTGCTTGAGTTGCCCGCCCTTCCAAGCCAAATTTGATAGGAGTCTCTTAGTGCAGCCTTGGTTACTCGTTCCAAAATTAAACTTACTGCAGTTCTCGATAGGCCGAGGTCTTTTAGAAGGTTATAGAAAGATTTTGCTGGTTTACCTCTCGCCCCTACTTCTACCCCATGTAAATTAACTAGATAGCCATTTTTGGTTAGTTCATTGGTAAGATCGTTATATTTATTCAATTTTATTGTGAGGTATTTTGGAATGTTAGTAGTACGATACAGTAAGCTCTATTAGTAATTTACTTATGTTTGATGTGCCTAAAAAAGGGGAATACGTCCGGCCTGGATGACGAAACACCAACATCATCTGGTACATTGTAGAGATTTTCATACGTATCTTTTAAAATAGTCTAGTCAGGTTCAGTATCTAGGATTGAAAAAAGCTTGCTTTTCGAGTTAACAGTTGAGCCTTCCTTTATAAAGTTAATTTGTTTTTTATTTGTGGTTAATCCTTTTTGGGCAAAAAAGCATTGTATTTTCTTTGTGCAAGTTACAAAATAAACTTGGCGGTTAATTATTTTAATAATGTTCCAGAAATAAGAGACACGATTAGCACAATAAAAGATGTCATCAACTTTGTCGAGAATCTTCTCTACGGAAAAAGTACGTGCTAAATATTCCAGCTCTTTGTGAGATACGCTGGTCACAAAAAAACAAAAGTATTGCTATTTTTAACGATCATTTTGAGGGCATTCACAATGGGCTTTTGGCAAATTCTAGAGAAGGTAATGCTCTCTGAAAAAACTCTTACCACTTATATTGTGCTGCTACCAAGTAAGAATTTATTATATCTGCTTTTGATAGGAAAATACCCAGGAATATTGGAACCTGTTGCCAATGCCCTATAATCAAAGACAATAGACATGTATATATGAAAGAAGCATCTCAGTAACGCGGACCAGGAATTCCAATATGTCTTCGACATTTCTACGGAAACTGCAGCTGTCATTGGAACCGATTTACATATCCCGCGCATTGCATTTCGCCAACGACATCAGTCCAATCATCTTGCTGAGACTCCATGCGATTTTTGGAATCGATCGATCTTCATCCCGTATTTGGATTCCCTTATATTCTCCGCACTGGAACATCGTTTCTTTGATAAATATATGTTAATCAAAGACACGATGTTCCAGTAGGCATATGCCTGCCTTCGGATTGATGATGTTGCATCCTGATGCGATATTGAAAATTTCATTGGCTGAATTCAAACAGAAAACACAAAGTTACTATGGGTTAGAATCCTTTGATAATAACGCCGAACTGTGATATAAACGATGGAAAGATGAGGGTATGCCAAGAGAACACCTTAGAGAGCTGAACTTTGCGGAGTTTGTTAGAGAAGGCGGAAACATTTTTTCCTCCAACTGTAAGTATATTGAGTATTTTTTTTACTGAGGTACCTGCTGACACCTAAGAATTGGTAACTTTACGAAAGCAATAAAATAAAACAGCATGTTTCTGACTGTGGCCGTTCAAAGTTGTACCTATAACACCTATTTTAATGTTAAATAAAATGGTAAAGTATACATACCGCTTTTTTATTTATTAAAAATAGTATCTTATATTAGGATTAACTTAATAACTATATAGTCATTAGTAGTAAAAATTAATTACATATTATAACTTCAAAATCTGTTCCAACAAAGTTAAACTTAATAAAATACTGTTATTTTAGGAGGTATCATGGTCTTTTAAAAAAGGATAGTCTTTCTAGGGTTCTGTAGTTTCGCACATAAGAGTGACAAATGAGCTATTACTAGGCTTAGTTTACAGCTTGTAGCTCTTGTATAGTTCGATTCAAACATTGTGAAGTTAGCACCACAAATTAGATAGTACAGAAGGCAATCTACATACAAAATGCGCTGTTACAACGGACACAATATCTCGGACCCGGACACGCGTCTGTGATTTTTTGTTGTCCAAAAATAAAGCAACAAGAAGCAGTTATAATAAGATTATAACTGTTCATTATAAGTGTACGCTTGATTAAATTGAACATTAAACGACGAATTGTTGTTTTTAAATATTAATTATTATAAATATATTATTATTATTAAAATTACATATTTTGTTATTTTTGGTTTATATTTCCATTTTTCTTGTTTAATTCTTAATAATAAATCAAATAAATGGATACGAGCGCCACTACCACGATATTTTTTGTGCATAAGCTAAAGTTGACAATCCTAGCGCGACTGCCGAGCGTAGGTATAATTTTTTTAAACATAATATAAAACCGGCTTTAATATCGTAAAATGGAACTAAAAAGTAAAAAATAATAATATCCTGACTTCCAAATTATGAAACAGATATTATTTTTTACTTTTTTGTTCCATTTTCGATTTTGAAGTCGGTTTTATTATATGTTTAAAAAAAATCCATCCATATTAGTAAAAATTGTATCGTCCAAGTCAACAATAACACAAGTGACGGAGAAATCTCACCGATTTCTCCACTACCTACATGCATAAAAAACATCGTGCGTGCCTTTGAAATTTTAAGGTTTTAAGGTTTTAAATTGCCCTCGATTTGCCCGGATACCACCATCAGATCCTGACTTGGTTCCAAATGGGACCACCTCGGAAGTGCACTCTTTCGAATAAAAATAGAATTTTGGAAATCGGTTCACAATTGACGGAGAAATCGGTGAACATACAAAAAAAAATACAGTCGAACACAGAACCTCCTCATTTTTTGAATTCGGTTAAAAAGTGAAGTACTTGACATAAGATTACCTTCTGAACTATTTATGTTGTGTCAACAGCGAGTGCAACTACGCGCAGGCTTCAATGACATCCTACATTTCGTTTACTGCGCCGCGACTTGCACTAACTTCTACAGTTTGTATAGAGTGGTTCACAATCACATGAGTAAAGGCACAAAGACAAAGCTCGAAAGGCTCCAACATCAAAAGCCTTTTTTATAATGTCAGGGAAATGCCTTGCGCATCCTTTAAACACCCGGGGAGCGAGAAGAAGGTATCTGGGACTCCTACCTGCTCATTTCAGCCAGCCCTGGGGCTCGATGAAATGAGCAGGGTCATACCTAACGCCCTGATCGGGGTCAGTAAAAATCAGACAATACTCCTGCACCGGTCACTCGCAAACATTCTGAGGACTGAGGTCCCCTCACTGACATCACAAAATATCAGAGCCTAAAAATTATGTGGGGCTAAAAGTTGAGAGGAGTTCGTTGATGCAGGTGTTGAGCGCATTAGACCTGCGATCGTAGATATTAAGTAACTTTCGCGATAGTCTGATTCATTGGTTAAAGTTGACCAAAAAACTTATTGTCTCGAGCTCCTCCGTGCTTCGGAAGGTACCTTTAACCGTTGTTCCCGGCTGCATCTGTAGTCGTTGGCATCAAGCAATTCACACAGGGCTCGCGTGAGTCACGGCCCAATCTCCCTATTCCATCCAAGCGGAAACGTTTCATTGGCGTCGACAGAGTGCCAGTGCTCAGCGCACAACGTGAAATTTTGCCTCTGTGCCTTTACTCATGTGATTGCAACGCTGCTATTAATCGAAAAGCTCCTTGATATAAACACAGTCTTCAACATGTGGCTCTTTGGGCAGTACTAGAGGTTGGTCGTCCTTCTTGAGGTCTCTGTAACGAGCCCTGTACACACAGGTGAAGCCCATTCGCTCAGCGGACATGGCGGAGTACGCGCTCGATGTGTCCAAACGTAGGACGCGTATTTTTCGCTCTCTTAGTAGTTTTCTGAAAAATATTAAACAAATGTAGGTAAATTATATTTTACCGACCTTTACCGTAGAGTGCAGCTTTTAAAGTGTCGATTATTCTGAGGACCTGCGTACGGACCCTAGTAAGGGTAAATATCCGTAAGATGAAATGCTCATATACAAGAGATCGAGGCTAGGAAATATTTTGCGTCGTTTTCACACAAATCGGAGTGCTGCTATTTATTTGCTGCCTGGTGGTTAAGGTCGGAAACTGTTCCATTTTTCCATGGATAACCCTTCCCACTTGATTCCATAATAGTGGGGAGATAAATAAACGGTGCTGACGTATTATGTTACATGGTCACTGTTCGTCGGAACCGTGATTTCATCATTGTGACGATAAGTAGTATTATAACCCACAGACCTAGATTTAAATAGACGAAGCATATAACGATATGCTTCAAATTGCATGAAAAACGAGCGTGTCGTATATTGAGTACTTACGAGAACAAATAAGTGGTGATGAGGCTTGAGCCCGGGCCAACCGTTTCAACTCCATCGTTTTTACAGCTTAATATAGCATGTTAGAGATTTTTGCGAAAAGTTGCGGTTGAAGTCAAACACATATTTAGAACGGTGACACGAAGAAATGAAATAGCGCCATTGGAAATGCTTTGTTCATCCTTTTGGCATGTTTTTGGCACGCGAAGTACATACACTAGCGTCATCTATTTTTTTATGTTAAATGGGTGTATATACATACAAGCAATGGCCCGCCTGATGGTAAGCGGCCACCATAGCCTAAAGATAGACGCTTGTAGTACAAAAATATGACTCGCGCTGTTGCCTACCCTGACCCAATCCCTTTCCCTGTTGAGCCCTGGAACTTTTCTTACCGACACACCGAAACACAACACCAAAAGGTAGAGTTATTTTACTGTGGTTTTCGGTAAAGCGGAGATTGATCCCCAGACAGGCACACCAATGCGAGCGGGAAATATTTGGTCTACGTCTGTGTCACAATAGATGACTTCTAAAACCAGCGTTCCTTACTCGGTCTCTGCCACTAGTTTGTTCATAATCCCGCGCCTCCTCCACTTGGGGTCGGTGGCGGCCACTTTGACTTCCACCAGCTCCTTCTCTTGGGGAAACTTCTCCCATAGTTTGGCACCTTCTTCCCTTTTCGCCAATATGTAGAGGATCCTTTGGAACTTCGGGTTTTTGCATTGTTCTGCTTCTTTTAACGCCGCTTCTACTGTATCCTGAAAAGAAATTCTTACATGATAGAAGCATTTACTTACCTATTAATTTAATCATGTTCTGTCTGCTAGCCTAGGGAACACAAGTAAAATATACGATAAGTAACTAAGTTTTAGTCTGATTAAAGTTGATCATATCACTTTTTTGGGATAAAAAGAATTAACACGTCTTTGCAGTAAGGGTTAATTGCAGTATTTCTTAGCGCGGTAGACTGCTGAAGCATGAAATTAAAAGGTACCGGTAAGATGGTCCTACTTTACTCCAATATTTGCTCCAAAAAAGGGAATTATGAATATTGTTTACACTATTAATTATGAAATATATTCAGATGTATTATTTTAAAGAAAAATATGTTAACTAACATATTTTTAAAGTTAAATCCACGTAATGAAGTATTTCATAAAATATATGAACTAATAACTTTGCTCCAAGGTATATTCCACAAACAATCTCCACTGTAGAAGCTTTTTGAGCAAAGTTATGCTTTCCTTATTCAAACTATGCTCCAGTTATATTACGCTTTACCTTTTTTTGATAGTATCAATGGTCGAAAAATGGGTAAAAATTAAAATAAACCGCGTTTTTGAAAGAAATAATGTTATATTCTTAAATTTAGTTATAAAATCACTTTGTTTCATTGTTTTTTTTATATTCTTAAATTATAATAGGCACTGCTATCTTAACAAGAAATTTGGTTACAAATGCTGGTCAAAAATCAGTCGAAAATAAAGTAACGAGATAAACTTCTCAAAAACTAAAACTTTAAAAATATAATTAAAAAATAACCCTCCAAGCGGTCAGTTCAGGAACGGAATATATTTCATAGCGGGTATTATTTTTTTAAGGGACACCAATACATTCCAATATATCATGCCAATCGAATTGAATTTCATCGAAGGGTTTAGGCCACGTCCAGGATTTTAGCGATTTCTTCATTAAAGAGACATTCTCATTCTTTAGTTATTTTTGTAATTTCCTTGATAAAAAGTGTATTACTAACCACTTACAATGAATAAAAAATGTTCACTTTTGAACGGCTTATTTTTAGGTTTAGTTTGCTCCAGGCGAAAAGTTACCCCATCTTACCAAAGAAAATATGAGCACGCCAAAAATGTGAGGTTAGATTATGACCAACGCAGCAATCCAATGAAATATTTACGTATTCGTTGTCCTGATTATATAATTAATAAAATTAAAACATAATTATCCTAATGCATTACGTAGATTTCAAGATAGAAGTGGCTTTTTCGGATACAAAAAAATACTTTTAAGGTCTTGCATTACAGCTGCACCTGACTCATGAAAAAAATTGCAGATGAAAAATTTCACAGTTCAGTGTGGCGACTTATAAGTAAGATGTTTCGGGTGCATTCACAGTTAAATGAAATGTTACACCGATTTGGACATATTAAGCGAAAAAACATTTTAGAGAATTGGAGCATAATTACCTCTATAGGAGCAAAGTGGGAACATTTTACGGTATTTTCAGTATTTCTGATAATGCCATTTTTAAGGACTACATATTATTTTGTTTTATTAAAAAAGACTAAGTGTGTTATAAAGCTGCGTAGTCGTAATAAAAATTCTAATAAACTCTCTCTCTCCATCGTTGGTGAGCGTTTTATCGAGTTCGTCAAAAATATGTGTTATGAACCAGTGACCCACCTTCCAAGATTTTTTTCTCTGGCATGTTTCATACATTATAAACTTATGTGGAGAGTTATGTAACTGCTGATGGAAATTCGTTGAATACATTTTGATTTATAAACGCGACACCTGACATACAGACGCGATTTACCTATCTCCGGCAAGTGATATCTATTTATTCTTGATTTAATTCTGTGATATTGGATATTAATATTTATTATCAGTAGTTATCAAAATTTTATGATACGATTGTTTGTTCAGATTACCTCGCTTATATTGCCAACACCGGAGATCAAAGCTCCAACAATATTGCCCTGTTTGTCTACTGCTTTGAAGGAATATCCCTTGAGCAGCGAGCTGACGCAGTATTCGTCCAGCTCTTCACAGGGTTGGTTCTCATTCCATAGCTCTACAGCTTCGTTCAAAGGCTCGTCCACGTAAAACGTTCTGAAATTTAAATTATTGAAACTGTAGAAAGAACGAAAAAGAAAATAGTTTTTTGATATTTTAGAACAAAATGGTGATAAATAAATAGAGTAGGTAGGAGTAGTATAGGCTTAGAGTAGAGCGATGCTCTATGCACCACGAACCTGAATGCAAAAAATATTTTTCACACACAATTAAGTTTTATTGCCCCGTGCCTCTTAAGGCACGTAAAAAAAAGTGATGATACTGGCTGATATTTCTGTGCTGGATCTTTATCTTATGATTTCAAAAGTTGATTCCGAGTTGTAACAGGCGTTTTAAAAAGAATCTGTGAATGCATTTCTAGTTATTATTAAGAAAAAATAATGTCTTCTTTCAGTAAAATATCTTATGTTCAATATTTCATTTACTTTCCCTCCGTGTGAGGTAGCCGTGGGACGCCCTGTATATGTGAGTATGTGGCCTAAAACGGAAAAACCATCTCGCTTACTTAACTAGGGTACTTACTTACTTACTACTTAGCACGAACAATTATCGAATTCGAATAGTTTGCGAGTGCTAAATGTCGATGTCAAATTTTGTATGGAAACTTGAGTAGCAGCGCCACATAGTACGTAACGATAACTTTTGTTTTTGAGTTGTTATGCTGTTGGGCGCAGATGACCTTTACAGCGTCACCGGGTTTGGGGCGGCGAGATCCTTACAGGACCTCAAGCCGAGAAGCGAGTGCCTCTAGAGGTATTCCAGGCGGATGGAGTCTCCTCTCCGTCTAAAGCATCTAGAACCTGAGGGGGTTGGCTTAACTAGAGGGCGTCTCTAAGACTCGGTCCTCGGCTCTAGTAAGTCGTTGTCGTGGGGTACAAGAATTAAAACCAGTACACACTTGACAATGACATTTCTTACTCGCAAACGTTACGAATTCGAAAATGGTTCATGCTAAGGCTACACTAAGCACTAACGTCAATAATTACCGAGTATTTATGTTATATGTTGTAAGTATGTTATCCTGTTTGTATTATTAATGTCTTGTAGGACATGCTGTTGATAAATCTATAATTATAAATATAAATAAGCCATAAAAAATAAGTAGACTACAATGAGGTAATAATTGTAAGTTTGCACAACCAGTGCCTTTTATACTTACTTTTTGAGAAGTACTATGATTTGTTCCACATCATCTTTAGTTACTGGTTGTATTGTATACGACCAGTCCTCGGCAGCTTGGGACATTTTCTTTTCCGAAACAAAGACTCGTCACACTTTTAACTCGGCGAAGGCCGGTATTCGAGCACAACTGGAACATAAGTAATCAATTACCATACTACAGCTGCATACTTATTGTTTACTATTTATACTATTCTCCAACTACTAACTACTTACATAACGGTTGAACTGTTTTAAGAATTATCGTAACTATTCTAAACACTGCAGCAGAAGGAAAACTGATGGAGGTAAATAGAGCGCGCGCTTTGTAGTAAAGCCTGTCAGGCGGACGGTTAAGAAGTTATAGTTATTTAATTTGTTAAAAATCGTGTAAAATTTATCCTATAAGAAAGGGATTTTAACGCCCACAGATTCTAGTTAACTGGCTGAATACCTACATCAAATACTAACTGTTCGTGAATTTATTTGCGAAAATTTGTTTGTTCCACAGGGCTGGGACGATCCTAACCGTCTCATCTTCTGAAGTTTCAGGTAGCTGTAAGGTTTTATAGTGGTTTGGTGGAATCTGGAACCTTTAGCTTTAGCCAGTTCAAGTATCTAATTATGTATAGTTTAATCTATCTTTTTTGTGGTTTAATATCTGTCCTTGGTTTACTTCCATTTGAAATGTCCTTTGAACAAAGACAAAGTATTTTCTTAAGAATTAAATTCTTCTTCCCATTACATAAGCAATTCATAAAATTAAATAAGGTCTAACTAGGTAGTTAAAAATTAGGTAATTTTTCAATCAGACCGCGTAGAGTGTCAGAGTGGCACAGACATTAATTTGAGGTTGTGTGGGTAGCGTACGGTGTATGTTAAGATTATGAATGAATCTGTCCACATATCTTATACATAAAGATACAAACGTCCAAACAAGTCAATGGATTAGTCACGGTTAACCTAGTCACATCACAAACAATGCAGAACATGATAATAATTATAGTGAGATAATAATTACGTACCCGACCCTTCGTAGGGTCTAATCGTTACGCAATCTCTATTAGGGTTCCGTGGCCAAATAAATGGCAAAAAACGGAACCCTTAAGGATTCGTCATGTCTTTCTGTCCGTCCGTATGTCACAGCCACTTTTTTCCGAAACTATAAGAACTAAACTGTTGAAATTTGCTAAGTAGATGTATTCTGTGAACCGCATAAGATTTTCACACAAAAATAGAAAAAAACAATAAATTTTAGGGGTTCCCCTTACTTAAAACTGAAACTCAAATTTTTTTTCATCAAGCTCATACGTGTAGGTGTAGGATATCTATGGATAGGTTTTCAAAAATGATATTGAGTTTTCTAATATATTTTTTTATAAACTGAATAGTTTGCGCGAGAGTCACTTCCAAAGTTGTAAAGAGAAAGAAAAAACAAGAAAAACTATAGTGTACATTACCGTGGAATCATACTTATCAAATAGAACACAGGCAATAATATTAGATACATTTGCATCAAAAACAACTGTGCGCATCTTATCTGATTTTGTTTAGGCGTCCCGCAAGGAAGCATTCTCGGACTGCCCTTATTTTTAGTGTACATAAACGAGCTACCGTTGATCATTCGACACTTGTGTGTTTTGTTTGCTGATGATGCGACAATATTTTTGAAAAATGACAAATGAAATGATGCTGATTTTGTGAATGAACTTTATAACACACTGGACGTCATAGTGAAAAAGAACTTGCGATTGCAATATGCTTATAATATGTGTATCTATAAGTCATCTAGTTATATATGTAACAAAAGAACCATAAGGACTGGAATCAAGATCTTTATTTATTTACCTAATTCCATTAAAGCCACCTTAGGCACTGGTTATTATCGAAATGTTTCTTTAGTTTGAAAGAATATTTTAATGATTATTGACAATAAAATTGCAATTTTATGTATAATTCTGACATGACTGCTTTGAGTACTTGCTATGTAATTTATGATTGTATGAATATACTTTTAAAGAGAAATTTATTATAATTTTATGTTGCTGACATTTAATTACTATTATTTTAATGTATTATTACTATTATTTTATTGTACGCCGGAAATGGGCAAGCTGTTGGCACCACCTAATTTTAAGAACCATTTGTACACAGTTCTGGACAGTAAATTATTATCAAGATAAGATAATTATTTTATCTTATCATGCAAACTTCTACCGGAAATCGTAAATCGCAATTTATCTTTCATTCAATCAACTAAACTTTACTTATAAAAAACACTATTATTAAAGCTTCAATCAAAGTTACAACGAATTACAAGATCTTTTATATTATGTTACTTGCTGCTACGGAACCCTTCATGGGCGAGTCCGACTCGCATTTGGCCGCTTTTTTAGTTTCCATTCAATACTTTCATATTTACATTACATTATTACATTTGTATTTATTATTTTTAGAGACGTAGCTTATCTACCATACGTAGATTTTATAAAAAGTGATTAAATAAAAGACAAATTAATTTTATTTAACACGATTTTCATTAAATAACTTTGTGGTACTTTCAGCCACAACTAAGACTATCCGAAATCTATAAAGACGATGCGCCATCACTAAGGTAAACAACGTTATCATTGCTAATAGCTAGCTATAATTAATAACATCGTATATAATCTATAAAATTCGCAATAAAATTTGTATTTACTTACCTGCAACAACTCACGTAGACAAATAAATAATTTAAACGGAGTTGATTATCGCAGTTTGCTTTTGAAGTAGATAGATAAGCAATCACCGACAAATGTTTTGATAATTCAGTGGCTCTTGGGCAACTAACTTAAACATTGACGACCAACGCGTCGCTCGCGCATTTATAATTTATGCTAAAGGTTATAGATAAAAATTTGTTTAAAGCGAACACTGCGCCACCGTGGTGCGTAATCGCGATGCTGCACGCACTATTTATTATATTGTTATTTCCATTCTATTTTTAAATGGGTAACACTCGCGCACTACAAATTAATAATGAGATAGATAGTTACATTCACAATAATGTAACCGGTGTTGTAGAAAAGTGGTCGTCATTCTGCTTTCGTAAAGCTAACTTTAAAGTTTATAAATAAGCAAAAACCATCAGTATGTTGTATACTGAATTTTGATGGTTTTTGCTTATTTATACCAAGCTTTGTGATTGCGTATAATAAATCAAATGTTTGTTAATTAATTATGAAACTTACGACAGTTTATTTCGTTGTTTATTGCTTGGTTTTGAATAACTATAAACTTAGCGCTACAATTCAACCAGCAACTCTTTCCACTCTCTGTACTTAATAGACATTTATGAGACTGCCTTTTTGATGTTTCTTGCGTTGTTTGAAAATCTAGTCACGTTCGCTGCTGTTACGTAACAAGAACTTGTTTTTTCGGTGTCGATCACACTAACAAGTATTAACCGATCATTTGCGTTCGCTCTTTATGCTGTGCTCTCAATACAATAGTTATTTTGAGGGTTAGGCACAGACTGGATATCTACATCAAATCCAAAATGTTCGTGGATTCATTTGCGAAAATTAATTTGCTCCACGGGGCTGGGACGATTCAACCATCTCCTCTTCTCAAGTTTTAGGTAGCTGCAAGGTTTTACAGTAGTTTAGTGAAATCTGGTTCCTTTGGAGGACATTTAATAAAGACTCTCTTACCTATCCATCCTCTACTCCTTGGATTTACTAAATGAAGCCTAATTCACCATCAGAAACATACAACACCACCAAAGGTTTATTGTTAATATTTATCACGCTTTTTTTACAATACCTATTGATACTCACGCTATAATTACTTACGCAACATTTTTTTATCTATCTGTAGGCATAATGTTTTCATTCAACATGTAGAGTACTGCGGTATATTTATCAGCTAGTTTATGTGGTTAGATAAATGGCATGGGCCATATATTATGGTGTCATCACCACCAAGCAGACAAAATTATTACCAAATGTTTTCTTAACGTGATTGTGTATGCTTAGTTGAATAAATAAATAAATAAATATTTCTTATACACACCAATTAGCCTGACCTCAATGTTAGCACTGTAAAGGCTTGTGTAACTTAAGGGATATCTACTAGGGCAAAATGTTACGTAATAGCTAAGTATATTTTTATAGAAATACATAAAATAGCTATGACTCAGGTACGAAATGCTCACACATCACATAAATATTTGCCCCTACCGGTATTTGAACCCAGGACCTCTGAATAGTCTAATAAAATTGTAATGTATGGAGTACATAGGTACATACTACTCTACCACACCGGAGGTTGTCAAAAGGTAAAGTGCTACTTTTAATAGCTATTTGTTCGGTCGACTATTTTAGTCAAAGTTTTAGGCATTACTAATGGTCTAAGAGCTGGCTCCGAAAAAGTGAACTGATAAGGTGTAGTAACGAATTATATATATAACCTCTCCTTGGTAGCTTATAAGTACAGAGCGAGGCCCGTCAGAACTCTCTCCAGGGGCGGAAGGCGTGGGTGGGCGGACAAAATCGTAAATTTTCAATAAGAAAAAAATTATAAGGTGCAGTTCTGAAATTTGGTAGAGTTATAGTTTTTAATTGTAGGAATCTAGGAAAATTATTGTCAGAAGTCTAGGTCGGGGCTTAAAGACTGTCAGAAGTCGACAAAGTTGTAATTCTGACAAATGCATTTTTATATTATTTGTTGCTTATCAAACCTGTATATAAATTGTCAGAAGTCTTAATAACGGCTAAGTACATAAAAATTGATGATATAGTCAGAAGTTGCTGAAGCGGCTATCGCGACGGAAAGCAACGTTTCGAATCTAATTTTGAGTTAAAATAACAAGGTGCAGTTCTGACAATTGAATTTTTATATTATTTATAGCTTACCGAACCTGCACATATATTGTCAGAAGGCTTAATAATGGCTAAGTACAGAAAAAATGATGATATGGCCAGAAGTTGCTAAAGCGGCTATCGCGATGAAAAGGAACGTTTCAAAATTAAATAACAAGATGCAGTTTTGGCTATTTATAGTTTTTATTATTTACACTTTTATTTCAATAAATATGCAATGACAAAAGGTTAAGCGAGGGCGATAAAAAAAATATAAAATCTGTGATGCCGAGTAATCGCTGACTTAGACGACCATAGACCTTATGTCAACATTTATTTTGCGCTAAGTAGTTTCTCATAACATACTACTTTATGATGCTTTAAACATGACAATAAAAACTATTTAGACCCAATTTTGTTCTTGCCTGATTTATTTATATTTCAAGCATAATTCTCCGAAACGATTCCAAAAGAAATAACAGCAGTGACTTATCATGCCAAATTCAAAGAGGACATAATATTGTTATTGTTGTCAAAAAAACAAGATATAAATGAATAAATAATTATACTTCCTTACATAAATATACTTATCTTTTATTCCATCTAAGTTTGACTTTCTTAAAATGACAAAAAAATAAATATTAAAAAAACAAATGACCAAATGTGTATAAAATTATCTGAAATAAAAAAAAAAGGTTGTTATGATTCAGTAACTTCTTATCATAGAGTACCTGTAAATTCTCGGCAAAACTTATCGATTTTATGTCATTTTTCATATTATTTATTTAGTTACTTCATTTTTTTTGAGTACGAATATTTTTTTTTAAAGTTTGTCGTCTAAGTCAGCGATTACTCGGCATCACAGTTTTTATATTTTTCTTATCGCCCTCGCTTAACCTTTTGTCATTGCATATTTATTGAAATAACAGTGTAAAAAATAAAAACTATAAATAGCCAAAACTGCATC